GGTACCTGCAGCAGTGTGAGGTCACTGGGGGTGGGGGATGGGATGGGGGCGGTACCTGCAGCAGTGTGAGGTCACTGGGGGTGGGGGATGGGATGGGGGCGGTACCTGCAGCAGTGTGAGGTCACTGGGGGTGGGGGATGGGATGGGGGCGGTACCTGCAGCAGTGTGAGGTCACTGGGGGCGGGGGATGGGATGGGGGCGGTACCTGCAGCAGCATGATGTCATTGATTTTAGTCTCCCAGTTGTACTGCGGGTGGGGGATCTGCCTTTGCACTTCAATCACTTGCTGGCTCGGTTCCTGTTGTTTGATGTTGTGGGCTCCCAGGGTGACATGGATGCTGCTGCTGCTGGTGAAGCCCCAGCCAGCGATGCTGCAGACGGTGTAAGGTTTCACTTTCTCTTTCACGTTCGGCAGCTTCACTATATCAACCCAGCTGTTCAGCTCCGCATTGGACTTCAGCTGAGAGAGCACAAGGAAGACGGGAATGTCAGAGTCAGACGGGCCACGGGCATGCAATAAGATCAATGTTGCAGCAGTGTGAGGTCACTGGGGGTGGGGGAAGGGAGTGGTACCTGGAGCAACATGATGTCATTGTGTAGGTTAGCCTTGTTGTAATTTTCATGGGGTGTCTGGAGCTGCACAGTGATCTCTTGTCTTGTGTCCTCTGGCTGGCGGACGTTGTGGGCTCCCAGGTACACAGTGACCTCTCTGTAAAAGTTGACGGTAACACGTGGAGTATTTGGGTCAGCGTGTTTTGCCTTCAGGTGGTGCCAGCCCGTAGCCCGTACCCTGCCCAGTGGTGTCAGGTCCTTGAAACTCACCAACGCCCCTTGAGCAGGTCAGACCCCTGGGCTCTGCTCCCACAGCCTGGCCACCGCCGACTCTTCCCTGAGCCCCTCACCGGCACCAGAGCTCCTGGCTTCTCTATAACCACCCACCCGCATGTCCCAGCCCAGAGGCACTTACTCTCCCTGGCAGTGAGCGGCCGTCAGCACAAAGTTCTCTGCCACCAGGAACCCTCCACACTGATTATGCTTCGTTGCACGTCGTACACGCAGGTAGGCCATGTAGGGCCTGGAGTGGGGCTTGGCTTCATGCCCCCCGATGATCTGCCCTGGGTGGAGACCAGCTTCACAGAAAAAGCCCCCTCAACTCTTGGGGCATAGCCCCTCCCTTCTCCATCAGCCCACATTGGCTGGACTGTGCGAAGCCCGACCTCCAAATCTCTGGTCCCGTGGAAAATCGTGGCTTTCCCTGAAGGCGTATTGCTCAGAAACCCGCGTCTGCCCCCTGCCCCATTGCCTGTGGCGGAATCCGCTTTTTCTCCCCTCCTTGTGCCGATGGGGAAACTGAGGCCCGACCGGATGGTTTCTAATTCTGGGTGCTCAGCTCCTTTCACCACAGCCTTGAAATCCCAACCTTCGGGAGCCCGCCCAACGTTCCCACCGGGAGACGAGATCTGATCCCAAATCTCCTTTGTCTCAGCCCAACACGTATCCTGCTCCCGGGCACCCTCCCTCCAGAATGGGCTGGGAAGGGTGTCACGGTTAGGGATGGGGTCCCCGGGTCGTGACCCCCCATCTGCAGCTGGATGTGACACTCAGACAGCAGATAGAAGACAAAGTTTATTGGGTCACAGGGACACAGCGTAGCATACGGTGGATGTTAACACAGGGACCCAGAACAAGCAGGATTATTCTCAGGGAGAAGGGGGCCCGGGTCCTGAACCCCCCTTTCCAGCTCTAAGCCTCCTCTGGCCTCCTCCCCCAGCCGAGACTGACTGATCCCCCAGGCCCTACCCGCAGCCTGGGGTCAGCCCCCTTCCCTGGCAGGAGCTGTTACCTCCTGTGCCTGGCCTTCGGTGTGAGGCCGAATCCACGTCTGAAGAGAGTCACCTCCCTTCTCCAGACAGTGCCACCCTGCTGGGCTTCAACACCCCGATTTCGAGTTCGGGCAGGACCAGGGAGACGTTCTAACTTGTCACCCTTGGAGACACTGGAGGCAGAACCGGCTCCGTGACTCCTGCCGACATGTCAGACCCGGGCCCGTCCCGTTGGCACATTAGACCCAGCCAGACCTTTTCTGGCTCCGGCTCCTGGCTGTTGGGTTTTGTCCTGCCGTGGCCACTGAGGATTTCGAGCCCCCCTGCTCTCAGAAACTCCCTCCCCATGGAGGGTCCTACAGATGGGGCCAGGTTCTCTCTTTGCCTCCTATCCCCTCAGGAGATCACTGTTCTAGGTGCTCCTCCAGCCAACAAGGTCTCCTGGTCTTGGCTGTTTCTTTCCCATTTGCCACCATCCTGCCAGGCATGCGGACACCAGACCAGGCTGTAATGTCCACTCATGGTCCCACCGACACGGTGTCCAGAGATGACCCCACCTGCCCTGACTTATGTCGACTGAGCTAGAGCCTCAGGAGCTCATATCTGGTTGAGTTCCACCAGAACTTCCAAGTCCCAGAACAACGTGGCACCCAACCCCCAACAATAACATTGGCCAGTCTCCTCCATAAGAGCTGAACCCGCTGGTCTCCAAGGGATGGGAGGGAGAGACCACATCTCCTTGGCATTGCCGACCGTCTCGGTCTTAAGACCATCACCGCCCAACCGATTGCGAGCCAGTGAGAGCCCTGGGGGATCGTGGGAAGAACAGACCCCCTTTGGGTTTAGTGGTCAGGCCCCCGTCGCCCTCATGCTCTGCAGACCCGCATGGTCACTGTGGGGCTTCCTGTTTCCAAAGCTAGGGGTCACAGAGGCATGTCCCCTCTAGAGGTGCTAGCTTCGAGCAGGCCTCAGGATGGGGGACAGGCTGGCTCCAAGGTAGGCATTGGTACAGGGGAGCCTTTCACCTCCAGGATCTGCGGTCCCTGATCCAGCAGATGAATTTTGACCTTCCCTGGAACTTCTGTACATGCTGGGGGTGACACTGATAGATGGCGCTGGGGACGACTCCCCGTGACACTCTGTACCCTTCTGCTCACCCCTTTACCCGACAGTGATCAGTTTGGTAAAAACCTCGCCTTGTGATTCCCTCTCAACTACATGTCTCTGCCTTCGGAGTGGCCGAATTGCCCTCCATCGGGGTCCCTCTCCGTCATAGACTCAGAACCATAGAGCTGAAAGAGACTTTAAAAGGTGATCAAGTCCAGCCCCCTGCCCTCACGGCAGGACCAAGCACCATCTAGCCCATCCCTGACAGGTGTCTGTCCAACCTGCTCTTCGATATCTCCAGAGATGGAGCTTCCACAACCTCCCTGGGCAACTTCGTCCTGTGTTTCACCCCCCTGACAGGGAAGAAGTTTTCCTAATGTCCAACCTAAACCTCCCTTGCTGTAGTTTAAGCCCATTGCTCATGCTCTCTAGACCTTTCATCATTCTTGTTGCTCTTCTCTGGACCCTCTCCAATTTCTTCACATTATTCTTGAAATGCGGTGGACAGAACAGGACACGATCCTCCAACTGAGGCCTAACCAGCGCAGAGCAGAGCGGAAGAATGACTTCTCCTGTCTTGCTCACCACACTCCTGTTCACGGAGCTCAGATTCATCTTTGCTTTTTTTGCAACAGTGTCTCAGGCTGCGTGTAGACTGGCATGATTTTGCTCAAAAGCATCCGCTTTGGCGCAAAATCTTGCCGCTTGTCTACACTGGCCGCGAGTATTTGCACAAGAACACTGACTTTGTACTGTACAAAATCAGTGGTTCTTGCGCAAATACTTTGACGCTCCTGCTCAGGGATAAGCCCTCTTGTGCAAGTATTCTTGCTCAACAGGGCCAATGTAGATAGCCACCTTAATTTCTTGCGCAAGAAAGCCCGATGGCTGAAATGGCCATCAGAGCTTTCTTGCACAAGATAGCGTCTATACCGGTCACGGATGCTTTTGCACAAAAGCAAATCTTTTGTGCAAAGGCACATGCCAGTACAGACACTCTCTTGTGCAAATACTTTTAACGGAAACACTTTTCCGTTGAAAGAATTTGCGCAAAATCTTGCCCATCTAGACACAGCCACACTGTTGGCTCCTATTTATCTCGTGGCCCACTGTGACACCTCGACTTTTTGTGCACGAGTCCTTCCCAGAGAATCGCTTCCCATTCTCTGTGTGAGACACAGATTGGTCCTTCCTAAGTGGAGCACTTTGCATTTGTCCTTCTTAAACTTCATCCTGTTTCCCTCCGACCATTTCTCCAGTTTGTCCAGATCAGTTTGAATTATGACCCTACCCTCCCGAGCACTTGCAACCCCTCCCAGCTTGGTATCATCTGCAAACTTAACAATCGTCCTCTCTAGGCCAGTACTGAAATTGATGAAGATATTGAACAGAACCGGTTCCAGAACACACCCCTGTGGAACACCACTTGTTATACTTATTCTGCCCTTCCAGAAGGACTGTGACCCATTAATAACGATTCTCTGAGAATGCGTATCCAGCCAGCTGTCCAATGACCGGTCGCTATTGGTGGCATGCAGTGTGGCAGAGTTGGCAAACTTGCATGCGCCAAAACTTGGGCTCTTCTCCTCAGGGGAGGGAGATATCGGTGGGGTTGGAGCACATGACGTACAAGGAGAGACTGAAGGACTTGGGTCTATTTAGTCTGCAGAAGAGAAGAGTGAGGGGGGATTTGGGAGCAGCCTTCAGCTTCCTGAAGGGGGGTTCCAAGGAGGCTGGAGAGAGGCTGTTCTCAGTGGGGACGGATGGCAGAACAAGGAGCAACGGTCTCACGTTGTAGTGGAGGAGGTCTAGGCTGGGTATTAAGAAAAACGATTTCCCTAGGCGGGTGGGAAAGCGCTGGGATGGGTTCCCTAGGGAGGGGTTGGAATCTCCATCCCTAGAGGTGTTTAACTCCTCGCTTGAACAAGCCCTGGCTGGGATGATTGAGTTGTGGGAGGGGGCTGGACTCGATGACTCCTGAGGCTCTTTCAGACCTGGGATTCTGTGATTCTAGCAGCTCCGATTCTACCCTCAGTCACAGACATCGCCGCTGAACAGGACAGCGACACGTTTTCATCTCTGCCTGGGGAGATCTTTCCCACCATCTCCCTGCAAACCTTCCGGGCTCAATTTGCCTCCCCACAAGACCCCTCCCTCAATCCCCTGCTCCTGCCTCTGTGCACCCAGTATTGTGTATGCCGGGGGTAGAGACAGTGGGACATTTTTGATGGGCTGTATTCCCCCCTTTTTGAAGCTGTTTCTCTTCCTTCAGAATCATCTCCCGTCAGGCTTTCGGAGACAGAAGGTCTGTGCAGCCGATTTTCAAAAGCTCTTTGTTTATCACGATGCACATTTTCCACCCAGGTCCCACTTCCTACCCCACAATGGCCAATTTAACCAGGTGAAAGAGCATTTTCTTTCATTGATACCTGGGGGTATGTCTACACTACCACCATAGTTCGAACTAGGGTGGTAGTGTAGATATACCCTCGCTGAGGTACCGGCTACACTTTTGTCTCTGGGGAACTGGTGTGTGGTGACTCCACACATGTGAAACCTGTGTGAGAAACACCTTGCAGTATAATCTTATCACTTATAGCTGACATCTATTTTTTTAGGACAATAATGGTCAGCAAATTATGAGTTTTCGGGTGATACTCACAAGGCACTCTTGGACTAAAATTTATCATAATCCTGTAGAAGTGGGGAACAAAGAGCTACAATCTGTCACAGGCCCTAAGGTAACACCCACTGAGCCCAATCCCCGAAAACCTCTGTTCACTCAAACTCCCAGGGCCCTCAAACCCAGCTGTACTCACAAGCCCAAGTCTCGGGTTGCAGGAGAAAGGCCATGGGGAGCAGAAAGAAGAAATGAACCTCCATGTCTGCAGTCAGTGCAGGGCAGTGCCTCTGCCACAGATCTGCAGGGTTTATAGTTTCAGCTAGGGAGGGAGGGATTCAAGGGGGCAGGAAACCTCAAGATCACGTGCACATTTATCAAAATGCAGGGCTTAGCGGGATCTGTTTCCAACCACAACTGACCACACGGGTTGGGGGAAGGATAGAACATGAGTCAGCATAGTAGCGGGGCCCGTGCACAGCTGGACGGATGATGCCCCACTGGATGGAGAAGACCCTGGTTGGGATGTGTCCAGCAGGATCCAGAGTTGCTCTGGGTCCTGGCTCACAGCTGGGCACATCTGGGGCTTCTACTCACCTGGCCCGGTCCCGGCTCAGCTCCCTGCCAGAGTCTCTGCGCTGGGGTGGCAGCAACTGATGATGGCAGGTGGGATCTGGGCACTTGAATCTGTCTCGGGGTGGGGGACAGGCCTGAGCCAGCTGGGGCTGGGCAGAGCAGGCATGAGCCCTGATTACACGGGGAGGGTTTCTCTGAAGCCCCCCCCCCCAGGGAGTCTGCGACCACATTCAAGGGATGTGGCCGTTTCTATGACATCCGGCCCCTGTGAGCTGGGACTGTGCAGACGGGAAATGCCACAGCAGAAAGACGTATAGACCCTGGGAGACCTGTCTTGTAGCTCCCTTCCCTTTTTCCCAGCCCCTGCTCTAACCACTAGACTCCACTCCCTTCCCAGAGCTGGGGTGACATCCCAGGAGTCCTCGCTCCCAGAAAACTCACAGTGTTTAGGATCAACCCCGCAGTGCTCCCCACCCAGAGCCCGGGGACAGTTTGTGCCAACTGGCTCTTCCTTTCCTTCCGGTCTCAACCCCAACAAGCTCACCACACCCAAGGCCCCGCTGCCCTGAGGTTCAGCCCTTCTGGGTGGGGTAAGAAGGCTCTACTGAAAGCTGGGATCTCCTCCAGCTGCATGCTCTGTGTCAAACGCGAGTGCGGGAGCTGGTTCAGGGAGAACATCTCTACAGCATCTCTACCTGGAATTACCACCCGGGGAATCTCTCGGCTCGGGGCCGGCCCGTTCCCGGAGGGGCCATCTCTCTGCGCTCCCTGGCCATCTGAGGGTGGAAGAGGAGGTGCGTCTCTGGCAGGTCCCGGCCTCTGGTGCTGGCTAAGAACTGACAAACTCATCACTAGAGACCAAGCTTCTCAGCCAGGTGCGAGTTTCCCTCCCGCTAAGGCCAGCCACACCAACCCCACGTCCCGGCCAGACCCTGAGGTGCCTGGAAGTCCCCCCCGTGCTCACCTCCCATGCCAGGTCCCTGTGCCAGGCTGGGTGGGGATGGCTGCGTTTGGCTTTCTTCCATGGGCTGGGCTGGCTCAGAACAGGGGACCCCCACCCTGGAATCCCAGTGTGACCATCACACGTCACCAGCTGCGCTTTGTCGGGAGCCTCTTCTAGCTCTGCCTCAGCACAAGGCATTTGTCACCAGGTGGGGGAGGCTGTGATGGGGGTGGAACCACAGGGGGGTGGGGTGTTGCTGTTTGCACGCGAGGCCCAGCTGGGAATGTGGCTAACACAGCTCAGTCCTGCAAAAGGTGCAAGCAACTTTCCCCAGCTCTCTGCAGGCTGAAAACCAGAGCCACCGGCTTCCGGGCCAGGGGGGGCTGTGGGGACCTTCCGGCCTCGCCCCCTGAACCCCCCAAAACCAGAACCCCCCAGCGATTTCTGCCTCCGCTGCAGCCCTGAGCCACATGTTCCCCACCAGCGTGGTCCCCTTTGCACCTTAGCACATTGCTCTCATTTGCAATGGGGCAGCCCCACAGCCGAGATGCCTCCCTGGTGCCGGGAGCTGCCCTGATCCACAGTCTGCTCCCCGAAGGGCGTCCAGTACAGACACATGCAGGATCTTCCTTCTCACCCTGCAGATGGGGAAACTGAGGCACGGGGTGACTGAGCTTAAACTTGTTTCAGGGCTGGCCTGCTCAGCTCCCATGAGGTCCCCAACCCAATGACGCCCCCCCTCCCCAAGATCCACAGGGAACCCAGACTGAGCTGGGGAATGGTCCAAGATTTCTTGGGTCCTGACCCTGTGCTGTAGCCCCATGGCCAGCGTCACCATGTCCCACAGATAGATAGAGGGGGTGCGTGGGGATAGATAGATAGAGAGAGAGAGAGATAGAGGGGGTGTGTGGGGATAGATAGATAGATAGATAGATAGATAGATAGATAGATAGATAGATAGATAGATAGATAGGGGGGTGCGTGGGGATAGATAGATAGATAGATAGATAGATAGATAGATAGATAGATAGATAGATAGATAGATAGAGGGGGTGTGTGGGGATAGATAGATAGATAGACCTCCTGGGCACAGAGCCAGGCATTCCCCTCCGGATTGTGTCATTCTCTGCCTTGAGTGGGAGGCTGGACGACAGCCCCACCTGTGCCCACAGCTCCTTCCCCCTCCCGTGCAGAGCCCCCAGGCCCAAGTCCAGCTCTAGCCTGGAGAGAGGCCAAATGATTCCCCTCTGGAACATCCCTGGGGCGTTGCTTTTGAACCCCACCCAGAGTTCATTCGGCAATCTCCTCCCCTCCCCTTTGGGCTTCAGCCCGGCTCTGCCTGGACCAGGGCCGCTGCCATCGTGGGGCACGTGGGGTGGTTCCCCTCGGGAGTTGAGGGGCGGCAGGAGCAGCCTGGCAGGGCGGTTTGCTGCTGAGTGAGATCTCCCCTCCCTGGAGACGGGACTCGGCTATTTAGCCCCAGAACAAGCTGGGGCCATGTCGGCAGCGAGCGCCGGCCGGGAGCAGTTTCAGAGCAGCGAGGGGGTTTCTCCTCTTTACTCCATCGCCTCTCGGAGAAGCCTGCCCGAGGTGGGGAGCCAGGAGCGGCCGGCTGAGGAGCAGGACCCTGCCTGCCAGGAACTGCAGAGAGACAGCACTCTCAGACATGCTGGAGAGGCAAAGTGACCACAATGGGGCATCGCTGGCCGGTCTGTGGCTAGGCAGTGACTGAGAATCCTGGCGGTGAAATAGATCCCAGGCTAGGAAGCCCAGCACGGTGAGTGTGTTACTCCAATTCAATGTACTTGGGGCGGCTAGCTGGGGGCCATTTCATACTAGACTCGAGTTACGAAGGGAACGCTGCAGGACTGGTCACATCACTCACTCCACCTTTTAGAGCTTCATGAGGAGGGGGAGGGGGGGGATTTTTCTTCCCCCAGCAGAGAACAAGGGGCCTTGAAAGAAGAATTGTGTGAAAACCAAACTTTTTATTTGGGAACATCCCCATGTCACCCTTCCACCAGTCCAGAGATACCAGCCAGTTTTAGTTCAGTGAGAACCTGCCCAGGGCAGATACATTGGAGAAATCTGAAAAATATTAATTGAACTGAGTAAAAAAAATGTTTTGAATTTTTCGAGGCACATATTGTGTTTCAAAACAATGAGTAGTCCTGTGGCACCTTAGATAGATAGATAGATATCATCATGACGGAGCTAGCTTTCTAGACAGATGGAATGGACTCAGGACTGGTAATTTCGCACTTTGCTTTTCACATTTGAGCTCCCTTCATCTATTTGTGCCCCCCGACACAGAGGGAGTTAAGGCCGGGGCACCTCGGGGGGCAAAGATTGTGCCCCCACATCTGCATTGGGCTTGGAACCCCTGAGCCCAGCTGGGTCCAGCCATGACCCACCAGCCCAGCCTGACCTCGTCCGAGCGGAGCCCGTCCATCCCCGGCGGGTACCGACGCTGCTCTGGGTTTCGCCGCTCGGGTCTCTCACTCAGGACCCTCATCACCTTTGGTAACATTTTAATTCACGGCTGGGCGTGGGCCCTGCATCAGGGCAGAGGAGGTGAGACGTGGGGGGTCAGCACTGGGGGTTGACCCACAAGCAGTTGAGCGCGGTTTTCCTTGAGTTCCTTTCTTGTGGCTTTGCCGGAGCCGGGCTCCCTGCCTGGAGGCTCAGGGGTTCGCCGCTACCTGAGCACAGAGACATGGCTGGGGTGGGGGAGCCTCAGTCGCCCCACGTCCGGGCCAAGACAAAACACTGAAGTGGTGCAATCCAGCAATGTCTGGCGGGGCTCAGAGCTCCACTTTGTCCATCGTCTCCTGAATCCAGGGCCTGAAAGGGGAGACTCTCGTGTACACGGCAGGGGGGGTGCCATCCTTGGATCCCCAGGAGACGATGCCCTGGGCTTCTTTGCCACACACCAGAGGCCCCCCAGAGTCACCCTGCAACAGGGGAAAAAAGACAAATTACAGGAGTGAGCCCAGCTCCTCTTTTGCACAGCCCCGAGCGCCGAGTGACCCCACCTCTGTCCTCTCTCTGAAGCCTAACACAAACCACCACTTTCTCAGGGGGGTTTGAAGGCAGCGGGAGGGGGGATTTACCTGGAAAGGGGATCTGCCTTCCTCTGGGTCCCCCACACACATCATGGTGGTGGCGTTATAGTAGCGCCATGGCCCCCCACGCTTCCTCCGACAGTCGGCATCACCACCACGTCGGCCTCCTGCAGCGTCTCCGAGATCTGCTTGTTGGTTGCACTCGTCTGACCCCAGCCGGCCACGCTGCACCTGCTCTTTGGATCCACACGCTGCTGGGCCGGGGGCAGGGAGATCAGGCCGACGTACTTGGTACGATGGCCCTTGTCCTGCAGCTGCACACAGGCAAGGACATAAGGACAAGGGAGAAGATGAGGGTCAGAGATGGATGAGGCCAATTAGAAAGAACCGACAGAACATGTACAGACATGACCTCAGTGGGAGTGGGGGATGGGAGGGGGGCGGTACCTGCAGCAGTGTGAGGTCACTGGGAGTGGGGGATGGGATGGGGGCGGTACCTGCAGCAGTGTGAGGTCACTGGGGGTGGGGGATGGGATGGGGGCGGTACCTGCAGCAGTGTGAGGTCACTGGG